AAAAGAGAAAGAATTTGTTATCAAAAAAAAAAAAATCCTCAAAATTTTTAAATTAGACTATCCCTAGCTAATTTTCCCAAAATAGGGGTTGAAGATTTAAACCGAAACGTAATAGTTGGGCGCCATTTTGCCACCCTCCAATTTTCCCCTAAAGCAAGATACACAAAATAGGGTGGTCAATAAGAGTGTCAGGCTAGCTACCTGCCGGTGAGTGGTCGTGCAAGTTCTTAAAGTATGAATAAAAATAAAAGGGCGCCAGTGACCTTATGAAAATCCCTTTACACTCTCAAAACGTTTAAGTATCCGGCCACGTAATACTTTCTACTTTACTTTCTGCATCTTACAAGGAACCGAATCATTCTAAACTTCATTCAATAACCTTGGTCACTGGGTATCATCAAGTGTCAATTAAACATTAGCTAGGGGAAGTCAAGTAAACAGAAACATAATCAAATGTACGTATATTAGGATTTCTGAAAATATGGAACAATAAAACATTCAGTGTTCCTGAGACTCTAGAAAAGATTATGTTTATCGAAATCGCACCCAGAATAAATGTTAATTATTGCTTAAATTTGCTATTATGGAATGCCTATATGTAATAATTTTCTCAGTACCTTTTGTGATCACAATCGGCTTACACAATATTTATGTAAACAGTTATATACACACTTCTCAGTATAGGCGTTAAGATATAAAACTCTGGGCGCGAAATGTTATGGCATAGAGTCCCAAATGATTAGTTATGAGTTCCAAGGATGTGAACGAACAAATTTGCGGACTTCTATAGCGACTATAGGTTTCAGAGTTATAAAATTATGAGGACTCAGGAACCCGCAAATATTTTGGATATTTCCTAAATCTTACACAATGTATTGATAACACACTATAAAAAAATTAAAGGTTCGATAGTAACGTGATATTATTCCCAGAATAGGTTCCCAAAGACGTTGATACACTTATCTGGCAATCTGGAGAATCCACAGATTGTATTAACGTCCGGATTGTAGAATAGGCGATCTAAAGGGCCTTATTAATCGTGAGAATAACCAGCTAACGAGAGTTGGACATCGAGTAGCTGCTTTACTGTTTTTAAAGGTATGACCACGTACCCTCTTGGTACAACCTTGCTACCACACTGGAATGTAAAGTGTGGATTTTCAGCTTCAATATAAGAAGTTTGTCGATTTCCCAAGAGTAGACGATCTTCCAATTTTCAAGAGAATTGAGTAATATTCAGCTTTGAGGCGATCACTTTAATCCGACATAAGTCGATGAGTGAGTACAACAACTCCACAAGAGAACCAAATTCACTCAGGATGCTAAATAATGGATATAGATCCCTTTAAAAGGAACGTGCTACAATCTGACGTCTTTTCAAAATTTCCATTAATAGCTGTGATCGGATCAAAAACCAAATGACCACTAAATCACCTTTTCACAATTCGATAGGAACCAATTGGTGCATCGTAGCGGAAGCGGGGTACGAGGGGTACCTAACGCGTTGTGTGGGAAACGAATCGACGCATTAATATATTCTCAGGAATTTCTCAAGTCCTACAATTATGATACTTATGTACATTTTATATACAGAATCCTAAACTAATCGAAACCGTTACAAGAGGGTCATCTTTACAAAATGGTAAAAATTCAAATTTTTTTGTGAGATTTTAACTTCGGACAATCGTATGGGACCTCGGAAACTCCATACAGAGATTTATTGTGGGGTTTGAAGCCGAAATTGAAAACAGAAGAAAAATTGAAAAATCAAAAAATTCACCCCAAATTCCTTAACGCGATTTTTTCTCAGGAACTATTAGTCCAAATGAGTTGAAATTTTGAGGATTTATAGTTCTCTACTAGAATAAAAATCGCTGAAAATTTCAGCTTTCTATTTATGATAAAAAAAGTTATAATTATTCAAAGTTTCCAAAAATTCATGTCCAAAGGGGGGGCCTTCCTTCCAAAATGGTAAGATTTCAATTTTTTCTTGGACATTTCGACTTTAGACGATCAATTGGGACCCCAGAAACTGCATACAGTGATTTTTATATATGGAAAAAGGACCTCAGAATATGAAACAAAAGATAGGGCTTTCCATGAAAGAAAATACAAATTTGTGTCACACTCTTTTGTTTCAAGTTGAATCGTTTTGTATATTGCATTTCTCAAGGCATTTCTACTTCTAGCTTCTAAGAACATCAAATGGTTATTTTGAATCTTCTCAAATATACAGGGAGAGTCAAAAATTTGCCTCTGTTCAGTCCTCGTTAGATGACCTTATATCACCCATATACTATCAGATTCTTCTATGAAATTTGTCTACTTTGATTGGGTGGAAAGTGACATAGGACAAGAAATCAGATTATTCTGCTGATATCCAACACCAAAATCTAAAACTTGACAGAATACACATTGGGCTGTATTCATAAAACTGAAGGATATCCTTGTAAGTATATGGTAGAAGTATAAGGTTTTGAGTGGAAGAATAAGGTAGGAGTATAAGCATTTCCTTTTTTTCTTATTCATAATGATTACCTTATACTTGCAAGGATATCCTCCAAGAAATAAGTAAAAGGTTGTTGGCATGTTGGCTTATGTGTGCCGCGGCAAGTTCCACGAACATTTCTGTTGCATCACGGGTGGCTTGCACATTCAGTGTAGGATGACCTTTTCCGTTGACATAATTATCACGATGGCGATTTGGTTTCAGTATTCCTACGTGGATACAGTCAACTACGCCAATTACTGTCGGAAACCTATGCTTGCTTTGCCATTACTGTTTCGCATCCATAAGTTCATTGTTGGTAGACGGAAACTTTATCCAGTAATTTGATTGCGCCACTATGCTGTCAATTACGGCAGTCACTGTACAAGATACTGTAGCTTGACTTACACCCAGTTCTTGACCAATGCCTTTCTGATATCCAGGGTCACTGAGATAACGCAAACATATCTGCATTTTTAGGACGGATGATAGCGCACCTCCTCGAGTTTCAGCATTAATTCCCAAAAATCTGTTGGCAAGCCATTGCACATTTTTTTTCCAAACCGGCATAGTTCTTTGTAATCACGAACAGGTGTTGATAAACGCTGCTTGTAATGTTTAATTTGTCTTAGTTCCACAACATCTGCTATCGCTACAACTGGTCACTACAGGACTGAGTCTGCTACTGACCACACTCGAAATTATTGAAGGATATCCTTCTTATTTAGAGTAAAAGGTAACATTTATGAATAACCAAATACTTTTTGTGAAGGATATGCTCATACTCTATAAGTTTTTACTCGGAATATTATGAATGCGAGCTGAAGGATTTTCTGCATATTCTGCAAGTATAAGCATAACCTTTTTTTTATGAATACGGCCCATTGTGTTGTTCATATTTTACATTTTTTCTGTTCAAGTAAAATACAGTTTACAGTTCCACGCATTCTTTATTGACAAAATAATCATCCACTTACGAAAACAAGATGAAAAAACAACAAACAAAGTCTAAAAATAAAACAATGCCTGATTAGTAATTCATCACTATTCAATCCTTAATACTTTCATTGTAAATACATTTCAAACAACACTCTCAAACTCAGTTCAATAAACATTTGAAATCTGGCTAATCATTTACAAAATGATCCATTCTACTGGCCTACCGTATTCCAGCAATAAATTATTAATCCTTTAAAATTTACAACTGAAAAGCACTGTATATCTTGTGTATTGATAGGGTAACTAAATGCAGATTTATTTGTTGCAAAAGAAAAGTTGGATCAATCATAAAGGGAATTTTCAGTTTATAAGCAATATGACATCTAGAAACAGGATTGTTTGTCTATTTGTTTTGTTCAAAATCATCGAAAATACATTTCCCATGAGCCCTGACTCCTTCAAACCTACTTTTTCTAATAAATTATACAAGAAACTATAGTTCAAATGAGAAGATTCAGTCACCCCTGTTTTACATTATTATCTACACTATTTTTTGTACATAATTATGATAATTTTTTATACTATTATTTTCATTTTCTATATTAGGTAGACATTATTATCATTGATCGTATATTAACAATACAATCTTCACGATTGAATAAATTATGCTGCAAGATGCTGACATGTCTATTGATGTGCTTAAACAGGTGGAAATATGCTAACATAATATTGATGATCTTTTTATCATATCGATTCAGCTTTTAGTTTGCGGAAATTTATGTCTATCAAAGATTTCTGTAAAGTTATAACTTTTATTCCCACTAATTAACATTATTATTATCTTGCAGGTGTGACATTCTAAAACCTGTTGCAAATTAGTGAAAATAAGAGTTATAACTTCACAGAAATCATTGATCTTTTGATGTTGAAGATTTATATTTTTTTCGTCTCCTAGCTCCAAGATAAATTAAATTTGCTCTAAGGAGAGTAAATGATTCATAGGAAATGTGATTATTTTTTCATGGTAACTAGATGCAAAAATTCTATGTGCTTGAAAATTAGCTCTTGACCTGATTCGGCCAATTTTGTTGTAGTTATAATTTAGTTTCTACTGGCAATATGGAGAACTTTATGGTCTCTCGTTTAAAGGAAACCTTTGAAAATTCCGATGAAAATTCGTTAAATATTCTTCTCTTAAAAGTAAAGAGAGTGATTTATGTTCTAACTTTGATTGATTGTATTGTAATGATGCATTATAAATTATAAGCTCCAGGCTACAATTACTAAACTTTTTGCTACAAGAGTCTGTTCCAACCACAATATAATAACAGATAAGTTAGTGCTTTGACATTATGTCCGCAACATACCAAAACAGCCCCCCTATAGAACCTCAAAGGATCAAAAATACACAACAACCCCAATCACCCATAGGTATAGAGAACCAATAGAAAAAATTGGAATGAGTATGTTCCTTTACACAACATAACTCCTAGTTGTCTAACCCTGCTATTTTAATTTGTTATTGTTTGTTTGTTTTTTAGCTCCTAATTGTGAATGAATTTTCTTTTTGCAGAACAAAATACACTACTGCACCCATCCACCATCACCCCGAAATCCCCTAGCCAACCAAAAAAATAAATAAAAAAATAACCATGGACCTGGACAAGCATATAAACGATGAACCAAATGTTACACTCACTATCAGACTGATTATGCAAGGAAAGGTACGTTGGATGTAGATGATTTGTTTTGTTGTTATTATTTCTGTGATAAATATAAGCAATACAGAAGCTTATAATATTATTCTAGCTTTTGGTGTCGACAGGTCATTTTCAAGTATAAAAGTGCATTAATGCATACCTAACGTGGGCGATTCTTAAGCCTGTAGGTATAGTTTAAAATTCATGCAATTTTTAATGCCTTGAAACAAAACAAAGTAGTAAAGTTTTATGATCATTAAATTATCTAATATTTTTTAATGCACTTTATTTGAATAAATATAAATAAGGAATGACTTTTAGCTAATCTATTAAAAATTTAAATATGCCTCTGAATTATTGTTAAATTATTTATTTCATTTCCTTGACATTTAACCAAAACTAAAAATAAATACCCTTTATGTTTCATTATTTAGGCATACATTCAAGTTTTTTCCAAAATTTGTAATTAAAACATTGAAAGCTAGATAGAATATTAGTAGAAAGTATTGAGTATTGCTTAACCTAAAACGCAAGTAATTAAGACTTGCCTTGCCCAGTACTTGAAGAATAAAATTTACTAATTACAAATTTTATCGCCTAAAGCCTGTTAAATATCAAATGTAAAATCTTCCTAGGTATGCAATTATCATTATCTTGCATGTGTGACACACTTAAACCTGTTGCAAATTTGGGCTATAAAATTCAAAATAATTGATAGGCCATCAAATATTTATGGCTATAATTAAAAATTTGTTGGTGCTTGGTAGTTATTTTTTTTACGATTACATTGTGCATACGGTTTATTTTGAATCCCTAGGGGCAAATGAGTTTATTTTAAAATTAAATACCCTTACTTAGTTGATAAAATTAAATTTATTTATTGCAATTCACACATTTTAAATTATCAATACTAAACCTCATTAGGTTGCAATAATAATTATCTTGACTGCAAATTTAGAAAATAAAATCTAGTGATAACGACAAATATTCTTAACAATAGAGAATTAACTGATGTTTGGAGGTTATTCGTTAAATTTTTTTAATTAACGATTGATGATTTTTGTGCTCTCCAGGGAGCCATTTAATTACATCTATATTTTTCGTTGTTATTGGGAAACCACAAATTTGCATATGAAATTGATTCGATGTTCAGTTGAGGATGGGAATTGCCGCATTGTGCATCAATCAAATTAGAGATTCTTGTCTGTTGATATGAAGGAAATACATAAGCCAGATAGCATTTGCGTCATAGCTTCTGAAAGATGAAGCCCTTGAAATTAATATGGTATTATATGGAAAAAAAAAAATTGTGTGGTGCTGCAATAATTCACCAGAACCCCGGGAGTTTCCTCCAAGGGGAAAATATAATTACATATTTCGGAAAGCCATACGCGTGCACACTAATAGGATTTAAATATTGAAGAAGCCTTTTATTTGCCTAAAACCGGGGAGGAATTTCATAGCCGATTTCCCTTTTGTAATTTTTCTTATTAATATAAAGGGTCGAGGACAAGGAAGAAGAATTTTGGGTCACCCCAATTTCCCAATATAGAAGCAGTGCTTTATTTCTAAATAAAACATTTCTATATGGGTACCTTGAGTATGCGAGTTGGCTAAAAATATTTGCGCGACAAACGCATACTGCTGCAAGTGAATCTTGAAAAAAAAAAGTTTTTCTTTCAAGATGTGCCAATTAAAAACAATTTTAATTATAGATTGATAGTGGCCTAGCCGCTCGGTCAGTCTGGGTCCAGTGCCAAGAAATGCAAATGAGGTGTTGGGAAAATATGCACACCTCTGTTAATTGTAAAAAATGTGATTCCTCTCAACAGAATATGATTATAATATTTGATATTAATCCTCTTGAATAAATAATTACGTTTCCATTCCGAAAATTTCTAGTTTATCCGTTCCCTACTGCCTCCAAGCCTTCATTTTGCGACACATTGACATGGGTTGGACAGATTAAATATTAATCGTCTGGCATACTTAATTCCGTAATTCCCAGAAAGAGGCAAACAGAGATGGAAATTCTCTCCCACAGGCAAACCTAATGTATGTACATTAGCGAAATTAGTGTTGTATTTACTCAAAAAGGCCTAAAAAGGGTTAGAAATGTGTATTTAATGACTGTGTCTAATCCGCATTTCACGTCCATGAAAAAATTATTATAACAGCCATAGTGTTTTGTGTAGGGAGGCCAGTTAGGGCCACTTTTCCAAATTCACACATTTGGTTTATGTTAATAAATCATAAATGTATTTTTTCTCCTAACATCAAAACAATCATCATCATCCATGCGACAACAGCGATTATTACAGATTCATATTCATATTCAAAGCTCTCTCATAAAGCCGGGATCGTTGATGGCTATGGTATCCCAGTTTGTTAACAACCGTTTTCTGGCACTGAGGACAGCAAAGTTGTCCATTTTCATCAAAAATATAGATAGCAACCATTATTTCCCTTTGTTTAACCATATTCCTGTGTGCATGCAGTTCTTGAAGCCTTCTATCTTCAAGATTTTTAATATTTTCATGGATTGATCTTCTCCACATTGGCCGGTTTACTGCATTTTGTTCCCAATTGCTTGGATTAATATGGCATTTGTTTATAGTTCTTTTTAGAGTATCTTTATAGCGCAGTATTTGTCGTGCGTACTGTCTTTCGCCATGGAGTAGCTCTGATAAAAATATCTGCTTCGTAAGGCGGTCAATGTTCATATGCACTATGTGACCACACCATTGGAGTTGCCGTTTCATCAACATAGACTCAATGCCATCAATTTTTGTTCTACACAGAACTTCGGTGTTTCTTATTTAGTGATTCCACTTTATAGTCAGTATTGATCTAAGACATCTCAAGTGAAATTGGTCAAGTTTCAAAATGTTCCGCCTGTACAGAATCCATGATTCTGATCCGTACAAAAGAGTTGGTAAGACTGTACACTTTTATCTTGGTCTCAAAACTTACGCCATGATATTTAAGAAGTTTCTGGGGCAACTTTCCAAAGGCCAAATTCGAGTATTCACGTCAGCGTTCACCCTTGCATCTGGTGTTATGATACTGCCCAGAAACTTAAAGCGACTCACTTGTTCCAACTCTATGCCGTTAATATGGATGTTCATTTCAGGAGGAAGTTCATGTGCATTCTTCGGAGTTTGCTGCATTATTTCTGTTTTACGGATGTTTATTTTAAGCTTAAATTTGTTACACGCTTCATTCAAACGATGAACGCATTCTCGCAAAGTCTCTAAAGAGTTGGCAACAATACAAACATCGTCGGCATAAAGAATTTCAATTATGCGCAAGAGTTCCACCTTAGACAGAGCCTTAAGTCTATGAAGATTGTACAGACCTTTATCATAACGGTATTTGATATGCAGCGCATCAGACATTCCATCCATAGCAATTCTCATTATCATACAGAAGAACAAAGCAAACAGCGTCGATGCCAGTACACACCCCTGCTTTACTTACACCACCGGTAACCTCAAAGTCATCGTTCATTTCTCTATCAACCGTAACTCTGCATTTTATGCTGTTATGGAATAACTTTTATCATGTTTAGAAATTTATGGGTGCAGCCGAATTTTTCCAATATAACCCAGAGTGCGTTTTTCAGTAATTGTCTTATTATAAACGTCGCATCCGTTGTTCCCCTATTCGCTCTAAACCCGTATTGGAGACTCTGGCAGAATAGTTCCAGAGACAGGTTGGAATCTGTTTAGGATTATTCTGGCTAAAATTTCTAAAATTTTCCTTCCTATGTCCAAGAGTAGTATGCCTCTGTAAGAGTTACAGTCCATGGCACTGCATTTACCCTTGTATAACGCGCATATAGAAGACTCTTTAAACTCCATCGGCACCGACTCTGTTCTCCACATGTGTGTTATGAAACCATGTATTTTGTTTCTCTACGCTTCGACCCCCTGTTTGAACACTTCTGCAGGAATTCCATTCGCACCTGCAGCTTTACCACTGTTAAGTTGACTAGTAGCAACATCAACTTCCTTTTTACTTGGTGTTCCATCCAGGCCCAGAATTTATAGTCAATGTTAGCCGTACTGTCTGCATTAAGTACAGAGCTAAATCGCTCTTGCCAGCGACTCAAGATCTCTGGCTTAGCTGTAAGCCTTCTACCGTCCAGTGCGTTAACTGGCACTGATTTCTTCCTTGTAAAACCCAATACACTCTTCATGTTATTATAAAAGGCACCCATCTGGTGAATATTGCTCAGATTTTGCATTTCTGTAGCCTGTTCTTGCCACCATTTGTCCTTAAGCGTTGAGTAAGGTGCCTAACAAGCCTATAAGACCATTTACACTGCGCGGAAAAATTATGTTCTATCTACTATTTTTCCATTTTCGAAGAGCTTCTCGGTGTCTACGTTGAGAGCATTTGTCAGTTCAACACTACATCGAACCAATCCTGTGGTGTCTCCTTGGCCTACCCAGCGTTTCATATGCTACTCTGTATAAACCCTCGCAGAAGTCTGTCGATCCATCAGTGGAAATTTCGTCATTGTTTGTAGCTTCGCATAAATCATTGACTTCTTCTCTAAACCAGGTATTTGCGTGTGAGTTTTTCAGTCTTTCCACATTGAGTCTTCTCAGGGGTGGCTACATTGATCTTTTCACTATGTGTATTCTAAACTGCATCTCAGAAACAATCAGCCTGTGATCAGTCCAGTAATTTGCGTCTCTTCTAAACTTGGTTGAGAGTACGTCAGCTATATCTTTCTGTTTAACAATAACGTATAGTCCAAGAAACGGGGATCTAAAAAGAGGGTTTACCTTAACATAATTAGAAGTTAACATTTTTTGGGGGGGATCGGTTAATTTTCATGTGCTTAATAACATATCAAGTTTGCGACCTTGTATTTCCATAGGGTTTTTAGTTAGGGGTGGTTTTTAGGGGTAATTTGCGGTTTATGGAGAACGCTGCACAAAGGGATAGTCCAATAGCAAAAAGTTTCAAATGAATGTTGTAGCTGAAGTTTTTTGCTATAAAAAACTCAGCGA